AATTGTTTTTTTTTTTTTTTAACTTTATTCAAATTAATGAGGGTACAATATTTAGGTTACATTATTCTCACTTCCAGGGCAAAGTTCCATTTGTAGAAGAGCCCTGGGTGATCAGGGGGCGTGTTACACCCTCACAATGTGCACATTAGGTGATATCCTGCCTCCTGCCCTCCTGCCCTCTGCCAAATGTCCTCCCCCCTCCCACTTCCCTCAACCCCCTATAATAGTGTTTTATTGTTCTTAGGAACGTGTAACTGTTTATATATTGATTTCATATTAGTATGGAGTACATTGGATATTCATCTTTCCATTCTTGCAATACTTTACTAAGAAGAATGTATTTCAACTCCATCCAGGTAAATATAAAAGATATAAAGTCTCCATCTTTTTTAATGGCCGCATAATATTCCATGACATACATATACCAGTTTGTTGATCCACTCATGGGTTGATGGGCACTTAGGTTGCTTCCATGACTTGGCTATTATGAATTGAGCCTCAATAAACATTCTAGTACAAATGTCTTTGTGGTAAAATGATTTTTGTTTTTCTGAGTAGATACCTAGTAATGGGATTACAGGGTCAAATGGAAGGTCTACTTTTAGATCTTTGAGGATTCTCCATACTTCTCTCCAAAATGGCTATATTAGTGTGCAATCCCACTAGCAGTGTAGAAGTGTTCCCTTCTCTCCACATCCACACTAGCATCTGGTGTTTTGGAACTTTGTGATGTGGGCTAATCTTGCTGGGTGATATTTGTGATGTAGGCAAATCTTGCAGTGATATTTTAACTCTACCTCTGTGCCTGCAGAGGTACGGGAAGAGAGATAGCTTCGTCAGGGTTGCATGCGCTCCCTGCTGGAGAATTTAGGTTTTGTTCTCTCTTCAGAGAACCTCCTTTTAAAGTAGAATGTGCTGCCTGGTGAGATGCCTACTACAGTCAGCAGATAGCTCTAGCTGTCAGCTCCTTCAGGGTCTGCTGCAGCTGCAGCAATTGCCTCATCCAAGGTCACACACTTCCTATGGGAGCCCACTTCCAGTGACTGAGAGAGGGGGGAGGAGAAAGCCCTGATGCTTGAGTCCAACATGGTGAGACACATCTGATGGGCAACTTCTGCTCCAGATCTCCCTGCCAGGTTGGCCAAGGTATCACAAGCACACATTGTGATGCAACTTCCCCCTCTGCCTAATCCAGTTTCCTCTCCCTTCCCATTTTCTTATTTAATAAATTACTGAAAAAGTCCTCAATAAACTTAACTTTAAGCTAGGTGAATAAATGCATATATACATGTATTATCATCACAACTATATAAAAAGTAAATGCCAGCAGGGCATCAGTGGCTCATGCCTATAATTCTAGTACTTTGGGAGGCTAAGGCGGGAGGATGGCTTGAGGCTAGGAGTCCAAGATTAGCCTGGCCGACATAAGGCCAACCTCTTGCCTACCCAAAAAAAAGGAGATGTATATTAGGCCAAATCTGGGCAGAAGATGCAAGAAAAAAAGAAGAGATCTGTTGGCAGGATTTTGGGGGATCTTTACTGAAGTGTCATGGAGGTGCTGCTGCTGCCTCGTTTCTGCCACTGCCTCCTCCTCAGAGGTCGCGGGCTTGCTCTCTAGCTTCTCAACTACAAGTGCCTACTCATCACTCAGCACCCAGCTGTGCTGATTCACAGCTTTATTTATTTTTTGGAAGAAAGGCAAAAAAAATTATTTAATGTGTACACATGGAGGATACACAGTGGTCAGCTTGGCTCTATTATTTATTTCTTCCTTGTAGGAGCCCACCGAGGTGTTTCCAGTATGGGTACTGGGGAAACAGGGGCTTGCCCAAGGCCACATAGCCAAAAGCAACAGCTGGATGTGGCCCCTGGGCCCGTTCCATGACACCCAGCCTCCTATCCCTCGGGGCTGTCTAGAGGTTGAAGGAGCAGTGGCCACAAGACCTCTTTGTAACTCCTTGCCTCACTGTCTTTCCCTCCACACTGCCACCTACACCAGCCATGCAACACTCCACACAACCAGACTTCCTGTACCTGCTACGAAGTGAATTCCCTGAGGGAGAAAATGGAACATATCTTCGCTTCTGTGCAAGTGCATTCAAAATCCTGTCACACTGAGTCCCCAACCTGGAAGGCCCCAGGGCCCTGGGACTAGGACACATAGTCAGTGCTCACCCCACCCTACCTTCCTCTGCTGGGTTTTGGAGCTGCTGCTGGTGGCACAGAGAGTGGAAGGTGTCTTCTTCTTGCCAAATGATCCGATGCAGGATGATCCAGGGCAGCACTGAGGAGACGTGGGGCTCCTTGGCCTCCTCTTGCACAGCCATGCTACAGTCGATGACCTGGTGTGGGGCAGGGAGCCAGGGTAGCACAACAGAGCTAGCTCTGACTGCTTCTCTCCCAGGATGAGTCCTCAGGGCAGACTGGAAGGGGCAGGGGGCTCCTTGGAGAGCTAGAGCATGCTGCCTGCTCACTCCCAGCATTCTGGTGTGGGAACACTGACCTTGCAGTTCCCTAGCATGTCACTGAACAGAGACCCCCCCCCCAACGTCCAATGACAGCATCATACCATCTCACCTCATGCCACACACAGCTACTAATGCCCTCAGCACCTATTGTCAGGGCATGGAGGACCTGACAGCCCATGGGAAGAGAGCCACGGACAAGCTCTATGAATGCTAAAGGTCAGCACAGCTGCTGAGATGAGACCAAGTGCAGCCCAGGGCTCACAGAGGAAGGGGGAGGCAGGCTCTGTGAGTGCTAAGGATCAG